CTTGCTTGGTAACTGTTTTGTTATATGTAATTTTACTATGCTAAAGTTAAAACCTTCCTTTTATGTAAACAGAAAAGAGGTGATGTAGGATTTCCCTCTGTATGCTGTGATTACCATTAATGAATAAAGAAACTGCTTTGGACCTACAGCAGGGCAGAACTTACATAGGTGGGGAAAACTAAACTGAATGTTGGGAGAAAGGAGGTGGAGTCAAGAGAGGAGCCTTGTAGCCCTGCTGGAGATAGACACTGGGAACTTTACCGGGTAAGCCACTGCCACGTGGCGATACACAGATTAATAGAAATGGGTTAAATTAATATGTAAGAGTTAGCCAATAAGAAGCTAGAGCTAATGGGCCAAGCAGTGATTTAATTAATACAGTTTCTGTGTGGTTATTTTGGATCTGAGCTGCCAAGTGGCCAGAATGACCAAGTGGCCTTTCCACAACAAACTGGTGCCCAGTGAAACAAGCGACCTCCTCCAATACTATCCCCTAACCCTTCCACACTCAGAAGTCTCTTTTGAATTTCCAAATCCAGTTGTTCAGGAAGAGGCTAGCCACCCTCCCCTCCTACTGGGCAGGCCTCAGGGTGGTCTCCTGGGATTCAGAGATGAGGGAAAAGGATGCTTCCCTCTCAGGTCAGGGTCTGGAGTTCAGCAAGAGGGGGTTCTGGCCTTGGAAGAGGCCCAGCAGCCCACTGTCTGGGAATGGCTCCTTAATGATGTGATCTGGGTCAGAAGTCAAGAATCAACCATCTTGCCAGGCAGTGGTAGAGCATGCCTTTAATCCCAGCACTTGGAAGGCAGAGGCAGGTGGATCTCTGTGAGTTTCAGGCCAGCCTGGTCTATAAGAGCGAGTTCCAGGACAGGCCCCAAAGCTACAGAGAAACCCTGTGTTGAAAAACAAAAACAAGCAAGCAAAAAGAATCGCCCGTCTCCCGGGTCCTCATGGCAGCCTCTTTTCCTCAGCTAACCACTCTCTTTAAAAAGTTTTCCTGGGGGTAGAAGAGATTGCTAAGTCATTAAGAGCATTTTCTGTTCTTGCCAAGGACCTGGGTTCAGTTCCCACTACCCACACGGCCGCTCACAACTATCTATAACTCCAGGTCCAACGGATCTGGCGCCCTGTTTCAGACTCCTTGGGCATTGCTTTTCTAGAAAAAGATCTGTCCTGAGAAATGTTTTCCCAGACTTAGTCATGTGGGCAGTCAGAGACCATTGCAGCTATGATAGCAGGGCATTTATCTCCCTCTCAGGGTAGCAGAACTTGGTTTCATAGGTCTGCAGAATACACGAGTTATTGGGTCAGCTGGGCAGTGGTGGCACACGCCTTTAATCCCAGTACTCGGGAGGTAGATAAAGGCAGATCTCTGAGTTCGAGGCCAGCCTGGTCTAGAAAGTAATTTCCAAGACAGTCAGGGCTGTTACACAGAGAAACCCTGACTTGAAAACCAAGCAAACAAATAAACAAAAAGAATTATTAGGTTATGGGGGCTTGCACTAAGATGGAAGAGAAAAGCCCAGAAGACTAGACAATGTGAGCAGGGCAGGCTTTTCCCAGGAAGACCTGGCTTGAACAATGCATGGAGTGAAGTTAAGTGGTGCTGGGAGCCTGAGGATGTTGGAGACAGCATGAGTGTAGACCATTGGGTAAAGAAAGTGGCCCGGGAGGAGTGAGCTTAGACTAAGGCCATGCATGCTGTACTAAAGCCCACATGATATCACGTGTCCCATGCTGCCAGTGGAGGTACAGGATCTAATGTCTGCCCTGTTGGGTTTGGGTTTTGCTTTGGTCCAGTCTCTTTTTGCAGTCTTTCCAGCACTCCAGTTTGGAACGGGAGTGCTTACTCTGTCCTTGTATATCAGAACCATGGAACTTGCTTTTTGACTTTTCAGGGCCTCACAGCTAAGGGACTGCTTTGAATCTTGGGAGAGACTTTGAACTTAAAAATATATCTATTTTTGTGTGTTTGGGTGCCTTGCTTCCATTTATGTCTGTGCCCACGTGCCTGGTGTCTCTGGAGGCCAGAAGAGGCCACAGGTCCGTATGAACCGGAGTTACAGACAATGTGAGCCATCGTGTGGGTACTGGGAATCAAAGCCAGATTCTCTGGAGTAGCACCTAGTGCTCTCAAACACCAAGCCACCTCTCCAGTCCTCTTATTTTTTTTTTTAAATTAATGGTCATCCACATGGCTCAATGGGTAAAGGTGCTTGTCCCTAAATCTAAACAGCTGAGTTCAATCCCTGAGATGATGAAAGGCAAGAACTGTACTAATAAAAGTTGTTTTCTGGCTGCCAAGCTTATCATGGTATACGAGCACACACACATACTCTAAAGAAATAAAAAGGAAAAAATTAAATTACATTTATCTCCTTATTTCATTTGTGTGTATGCCACACAACATGGGCTCAAGTCAGAGGACTATTTGTGGGAGTTGGTTCTCTCCTTCCACCAGATGGCTGTGATTAGACCTCAGTCATCAGACTAGGCGGCAAGAGGCTGTACCTGCCACGTTGTCTCACCAGCCCTCTGTGTGATGTTCTTTTAGTTAAGACGGCTAATGCAGGGCTGGAGAGATGGCTTGGAGTTAAGAGCAATAGCTAGTTTTACAGAGCAGGGGTTTCAGTGCCTTGTGACCACACCAGACAGCTCACAACTGCCTGTTGCTCTAGTCCAAAGGATCTGACACTCTTTTGGCTTCCTCAGACACCAGGCCCACATGTGGTGCACAGACATATTTGTAGGCACTCGCACATACACAGAAAATAAAAAAATAGATTTAAAAACAAACAAATCTTAAAGAATCTGCTCCCCTTGCCCAGGAATTAAGAGAGAGTACTTTCTTAGCAACCTCTTGAGATGTAACCTGGGAATCAATAAAAAATGGCCTTTGTGGCTAATGCTAAGGCAGTTAGGAGCCTGTCCTTACACTTGGGTGCATCTTATCCCCCTTCCCCCCTACTCTCCCTTGGGAAGCTCATGTCTACATTGGATACATCTTTCTTCTGAGTTTCTTCCTTTCCTTTCTTTTTCTTTCTTTCTGCCCTTCCTTCCTTTTCTTTTTCAAGATAGGGTTTCTTTGTGCAACCCTGGCTGTTCTGAAATTTGCTTTGTAAACCAGGCTGGCCTTGAACTCATAGAGATCCTGGAATTAAAGGCATGTGCCACCACCACCTGGTTTACACTGTGTGCTTAAATCTATCTATATTGAAGTAACTTTTAATAAAGTCACTAAATCTGCTTCATATACTGGCTATAGCTGTGAAATTCCTTACAGACACTAAGGCACATTTCCAGCTTGACCAAAGTCTAGGTCCCTAAAAGTCTAGGGCAACGGTTCTCAATGTATGGGCTGCAACCCCCCTACAGGGGTCACATATCAGGTATCCTGAATGTCAGATAGTTACATTGCATTTCCTAACAGTAGCAAAATTACAGTCATGGAGTAGCAATGAAATAATGTTTTGGTTGGGGATGGCCACAACATGAGGAACTGTATTAAAGGGTCGCAGCATTAGAGGGCTGAGAACTACTGGTCTAGGGGAACTCCTTGCCATGCAGCCAGTGGCAGTGTGGAGCTATGTCTGTCTCCTTGCTACTGGTTATTATGGATGTCTCCCGTAAGAACTAGGCAGAGGTGAGTTAGTGATAAAATTATCTTTTGCATAAACATAGAGAAAAGCCTGTAGAAGCCCATTGTGGTGGTGCACCCCTGTAATCCCAGCACTTGATAGAGGCAGGAGGATTAGGAAATCAAGTTCAGTGTGGAGCTGGTGGTGTGTGGGTGTGAGCTTCGCAATCCCAGAGTGTTTGGCTTGAGGCATTGGCTTTGAACTAGTGGATTTCTGGAGCGTTTTAAAGAACTGGTGCTGTGATTGTGTGTGTGTGTGTGTGTGTGTGCATGCGCCTAGGGCAGTTCCACCGGTAACTAGTTGGCACAGACGGGAGCTCCGGCTGACCACACTACAATGCACAAGAAGCTCCCACGAAAAACCACCAAGCAAAGCCCAAACTCATCTCAAGTGAGTATGCAGGATCACGCTTGTAATCCCAGCTCTAGGGAGATGGAGGCATAAGGATTATGAATTCAAGGCCAGTCTGGGCTGCATACTGGGCAACCTACATGAACCCGTGGCCTCACTAAATAAATAAATAAATAAAACAAAAGAATCTGTCCCAAGTCATCCTTGCCCTGACTGAGAAAGCCTGCGTGATCCACATCGTGGATGCCAGCGAGCAGGAGGAAAAAGGCAGGGGGCGTTTGCGGGGGGTGGGTGGGACTTCAAACTCCCCGCGAGACCCAGGCCATGCACGAAGGTTGCATGCCTCAGCCCCCCCCGTCCGAGGAACTCCTCTCCAAGAGGACGGAATCCAAACCGAGACCTACACACGCCTCACTCCAGGACCCCCAGGAATCCCTGTTCACCAGGAGCACCCCAGCAGGGGGTGGGGTCGGGCTGGGAGCCGCGCGTTGCGTCATGACGCACGGCGGCGGCGGCGGGGTTTGTGTGCGCGGGAGGCCGCCGATAAAGGTTGAGTGCCTCGCGCCGGGGGCCGTGGGGAGGGAGCGCGCCCCCGCCCCCTCCCGGG